CCGGCCCGGCGGGTTGCTCTGTGCACATCTGGAAATAAAGCCGGGGTGCAACCCCTTCCGGAAAACACCCGCGAAAGGGTTAGTGCTTGCAATTTCTTCGTGCGGTGGGAAAATGTCCCCTCCTCCTGTTTCTTGAAAGAACAGGAATCTCAGCCCGGTCAGATGGGCCGGGATAAGGTTCTCCTCGTTCCCCGATCCGCTGTTACCTATATTACGAATTTATTTTGGTTTTTAAAGTGGAGTTCAAATTTCTAGGCCCAGTGGACTGAATTCTGCCATTTCCCTTGTGTTAACTGCTTTTTTTTCATTCCCACAATAATACTTCCACTGGGACAACTCAGGCGAATACCCTTCATGGATAAATACGTATATATTTATACATAAATATAATAGCGCGGTGGTCTTTGGTGACTGATTAACTGCTGTTTTGGTGTTATTCTCTGATGCTAATGATGATCTATACACTGCTTAAGTTTCCTATAATGTTAAGCTGCTGTTGTTTACAAATATGTGAGTTGTTGGTTATTTCTGATTTTATTCAAGTTTTTTACAGGCAGAATTACTCAGCTAGTCCAGAGTAAATATTTGCACATGCTTAGATGGAAGAGATTTTGTACACACAGCAGTGTTATTGAACAGCTTTATCCTCTCTGTCGGGTAGGAACCAAAACTCAGGATCTAGCATGTATATATTTAGCACAGTAGCTGTTCATGAAAAACAAAGTGTTAACAGTGGCTTTTTTCCACCCAAATAAAAAGCTATGAACATTAAGGGCAATTTCTCTCTGGAATTCATCTCTGGACATCCATTCTCAGCTGTCTGCTTATGGTCAGTATTAGCTGCCTAGAGAGATTCACTATTTGGACTGAAATTCCCTTTTCCTCATCGGGTTGGAAATACCATTTGTAAGCATTTAGGAAGGAAATAAAGGAAACAAACCATTGAGATTACTCTCAATTCTCCATGCAGTGGAAATCCAATGGTCTTCTAGCTAATAGGGGAGGAAGAAGCAGAAACGCAAAAATGACAGTGTCCCTTTTACATACAAAACCAGAAGCGAATTAGTCACATCATGGAGGAATACAACGACGCAGTTCAGAGGGCTGCAAGACTTTCAGTGGCAAGGGAAAGTTTCCTGGCAGGAAAGAAAAATCCGGTGAATGTAGCGACACAGGAAGACCTGATGATTTACACCCTGTGGTTATTGTGTCACCCACACTCTCTGAAGGGCATTCACCGCTTTCTCCAGGTAAGACCAGCATTTTTTAAAGAGTGAAGTATAATTATGAAACATCCAAGTCTTGGATGAGAAAGTAAACCGATTCAATGTAAAAGAAATCCAGAGGTCTGTAGGTAATGAGCTAGACTGTATAGGTACGACTTTCAATTCTTTTAGGAGATTGATTTTACTAGAAAGAAAATACTACAATGATAAAGTTGAATTTAGGTGAGTGGAATAATGAGCTCCCTGGGTGCAGTGTAGATAATGTTGGGCTGCTTGGATTTGAGGAGGTCCAGGATGAGGAGGAGAAAGCTTGGAGAGGCTTTTTTTCTGTATTATTACTGTGATGATGTTTTGATAGAGCAGGATGCTATCGGGGGACTGAGACATCGCAATGAATAGTCTGTAGACTTGAGGGGTATTTGTTTAAGTGTCACCTTTCAAGAACAAATTTGAATACTTCCTTATTTTATCTAGTTTCTTTAATGATTTTATTATATGAGTGCTGTAAGTCATTGGCAGTGAATAAATTTCTGGAATTGTACACAATGGATAACTATGGTTTGTTTTTTCTCTTTTGTGTTTTACTTTATTACTAAATTTGCAACTGAATAGTTTGTATGCTTTCTATGTGACTGAGAATAACAACAGATATGTTCTTAACTCCAGGTTCTCCAGCATTTAACTATTTCTCACAGAATGAATGTGGCTGATGAGAAATGTCCTGATGTGCTCCAAGACAACTGGGACAAATTAAGAACTGCTTTTGACAAGAATTCAGATATTTTTAATATTGTGTCTCCCTGTTCAAGAGTATTAAGAAGAAATGGTGAGAAATGATCAGCTTTCCTTTAAAACCTGAAGTCCTACAGATAATGCATTTGTTAACGTGTGTACTTTGAGAAAGGTCAACAGCGCAAACTTGGGAAATACCAAATGCCATCCTTGGTTTGTATGCTTGAGAAATTTGGAGTGTGGCTTTTAAAGTCAGCAAGAATACTGGAAATCTGGTGTCCAAATGCCGGAGTGTGGAGCCCTGCCTCTGCAGCGGTTGCTCCTCTGGCCTTACTCTGCCCTGGGCTGCAGAAACAGGCGGTTCAGAAGGATACTTGTGGGATCAACTCGGTGGAGAATCCGGGATGTTGTCCCAGTTATGCCAAACCCTGAAACTTATCCTTCCAACTTTCTGCAAGAATATTATTTAAAATATTTCTGTGGGCGGCCCGTTTCTGGAGGAACGAAGAGAAGAGAGCTGTTGCTTTAAGACTTATACTGAAGTATCTCTAGAAAAAACTCCTTGTGGTGATCTTCAGGCTCTCTTTCCTTTAAAGAAAGGGAGGGAGTGATGTTGCTTATGTAGAGTTACCTGCATGCATGGCAGGGTGTACGCCTCCTCCTTGGGGTGAAGTGGGCTGGCCAGGGTAGCGGAGCGAAAAGAGGCTGTGACTTGTCCTCCCCACCTCCTTTCTCCACTGAAGACCTCTACCACAGGGGTCTGTGGGTCTGCACGGGGCGGGGGGGGGGAAGGAAGCGGGGCAGAGCCCTGGCCTGGGGTGGCACTGCCCAACCCGTGACAACTGAATGAGAACAGTGCTAAGGGAAGTGCGGATTTACCTGGGACAGATAAGGGGCCTTTAGCCCTTCGTTAGCGATCTAACTAAGCTCTGACTGGTTCAACTGGCTGTACTGGTACAGCCTTCTTCCACTGCTTAGGCCCAAGGGGGTCCCAGGTGTGGCACGGTAGGGAGGTACGGCAGCACTGCCCCAGGAGTGCAGCGCTACCGGTGTTAAGGTGCAAGGAGAGGAGAGTTAATCTCGTCTCTCCAAACGAAGCCCCTCGAACAGGCCAACGTTCCTCTCGTGTGAGCGGGATGGGAGGGGGAGGCACGGTCTGTGGTCTCGGATACAGGCGGCTAATAACGTACGGAGCAGCGCACAAGACCTGCAGTGTTACAGAGTTCGCCTGAGCCATTCGTTTTGCCATGAAATAGACCCTTACTGGTATTAAAACGCAACTCAGAAGGGCTGTAGCTCATTTTGATCTTCAGTATCTAGTTACCTAATATCTGAGGAACTATAGCTATCATACCACCATCATAAGCTTAATTCATCTGCTATATAAATCTGAGCTTCATAGATGAAACAACAGAATGATTAAACAAGACACTAAAAACAAAGCTGAAATAAAGCATGGGAAATGCAGATGGCCTTTTATTGCTGAAATAATGAGATAATAAATTAGATTACGTGTAGCTCCACTAAACCCCAAGAGTTTGGCTGAACTTTAGCAAACTGCAAATTATCTGTTAGCATCTTTGCATGTATCAGCAGTACCCATCAGCACTGGGTAAAGGAGAGTAAGTTGACACTTATTTGGATTTTCAAAAATCTTTGGAAAAGAAGTAGCAGATATAGTGTTACTGTTTGTTAAGGTTTGGCCTGAGAAATGAAAAAAAAAAAAAAAAGCAATTGGAATAATGGCCATATTTCTGTACAGAAACATGATGGCACAGGGAAAGCTAAGATTCTGTATAAAAAGCAGTGTTAGACATACTTGTCAAAGAGCTGAAAAAAGAGAAGAAACGATGACAAAACTTAGAGGAGCACAGTCATTTTGGCTGTTCGAGGATGAAGGAATACCAATATCCTCCAAAGCCTTGAGCAAGCCTGAGATGAAGTAAAGGAGGAGGAGAAAACATTTTAGTTCTTCTAAAAATGGGTGCAATGTTGCCAACAGACTCTTCAACACTGACACCAGGCCAAACTCAGCCATCCCCAGGACACCCTTGTTTCAGGAGTTTGCGATAGCAGCATCATGCCAGAATCGAATACCGGAGGAGTGATAACCCTGAAATAGTAACATACTTGATGTTCTTGTGACATGTGAAGATTTGGGAGGTGTGTGTGTGAGAAGAATGTTGTACGCCCCTGAGCCGCGACTCTGTTCAGGCAGTAGGATTTGTTGGTTGGGTGTCCTTTCCATGCTGGAAGATAGGCACTCCTCCAAGGACCGGGGAGATGCCCCGGACCTGCAACAGCTGTTAGTCTTTTGGGATCTGGTAGAAGACCCTTTCTTAAAAGAAAAATGAAAATAATAAAAATCCCTACATAAATAATAAAAATCCAAGGTTTCCCCTTTCCCCCGTCACATTCCGTTCTCTGACATACTTCTGCTTCAGGGTTAAAAAAAGGGGAATTACATCATTGCATGGATGCAAAGCAAAGGGCACCGACAGCATTGCTTACAGTCATCTTACAGTCATGTTGCTTAAAGTGTTGATGTTCTCCAGCTGGTCTGATGATGGCTTTTTGCAGACTCCTGCCACAAGGACGCTGGATTCACTTTGCCCCAGCACAGCACTGAAACCGAGGAGCTGAAATCTCAGCTTCAGCTTCTGCTTTCTCATTTTGGTATTGACTACAGCCTTAAGAATCTCAAGAACTCAGCTGATGAGATGGAGCTCTTTTACCTGGTAACTGAAATGTACTTCTCCACACAAAAAAAAAAAGAAAAAAAAAGAAAAAAAAAGTCTTTAAAAGTATGGAAGGAAGTTCCATTTATTACAAGCCAGTGTTTTGCGTCACGGAAAAATAAGGTTGTGAGCATTTTTGCTCTTGACTGGAAGCAGCAGAAGGGCCTGGCTCGCTCTCACTGGGCTATGTAGTAACTGCTGACGTTTGTATTGTCGGCCTCATGGCTCTGAGTGCATACCTGTGCTGTCCCAGCTCTCACCTGTGCTTTTTCTGCATTTTTCTCGAGTTCTCCTGCCCCTGCTTGGAGCCTCCCCAAGCTGTGGTACTTCTACTAGAGGTCGGCTGCGACATCCCGTCGCTGGGACCTTGCCGAGCCTCCGCAGCTCAGGGGTTACCCCCAGGAAAACACTGCTTTTCATCTTTTCTGTCATCCCAAAGGCAAAACCCTCCGAAAATCTCCACTGCCTGTCCAGGCTCCAAACGAGATGTGTAGCCGTTAAATGTAAATAACGTGCGCCTGGTATGAGAACAGGTGGTACAGCGGAAGAGGACAAAGGTTTGGGTGCATGAACTGGTCTGTAAGTCTCATCAAATTAACACTTGACTAGTCCAGCTGAACTCCTTAAACTAGCCGAGATAAGCACAGGCAAATGTGTTTACACAACTAGGCAATGATGTAAATTACCTCTATTGTAGGCTTATTAATTTTTGAACAGGATTTTCAAAGTACATCTTCTAGGCTCACGCGATTCCTACTGAAGCCAGTGATCACAAATTTGCCGTCGGCTTTGACTGAAAGGCAGTGTTTTTGAAATTCCTGGTCGTCTTTTTGGAGGCTCCGGAGTTAACAGCAGGGAGTTTCATTGTGTCTGCTGGAAAGGAAAGAAAACACAGGACCAGAAAGTCTCCTTTGTTGCTTTATCTCTCCATTTATTTATTTATTTACTTATTTACTTATTTATTTATTTATTTTTGGCTGATAATATGCAGTATTACCTTATTATAGGATTTAATATCCGGCTTGTGAAATTTATAACAGTACCATCTCCTTTTATGCTTTAGGTTGTTCAAAAATTTAAAAGCGTCTTCTGCAAACAGCAGGTGATGAGAACGTTTCCAGTTTATGATGCAGAGGTTTCTCGGTCAGAGAACCAGGGCATGTTAGATCCAGCCAAGGCTTTGAAAAAGAGAGCCAACTGGATCCCTTTTTTAAAGGTAATTATGAGGAACTTTCCTTTTTCAGTTGTGTTAGTCCCAACCAGTCTTCAGGACGCACCAAGATACATTTTAGCAATTAAAACCTAAAATGTTTCTTTCGACAAATAGAGCGATAATTTTTTTAATAATTCAGGCCTTATGAAACTGCTGTATTTCTGTATAGTCAAGAGCCCCTTTACATGTCTGTTGAAAATAAAAAGTGAATGTATTGCACTTTCTTTACTAAATATTGCCTCCTATACCAAAAACATGTAGTGATATTTATAAGTTTTGTGGTTACTTTTATGTCAACCAGATTAAGCCTAAAGTAGATCCCTGGCAGCAAAAGTTTTGATAAAACTGAAGCAATGGAAAAAAGTGGATAAGCTGATGGACCTTCATTCAAAATTTGTAGAGGTAATTTAACTTCTTATTTAAAGATTTTAATTTATTTATTGGACACTTCTAGGGAAATCGAAATGTCTAGAGAAAGGTTGCCTCAGGTTTATGTATATGTGTATATGCCTGAATTCATTAAAGACCCATTACTAAAGTGCTCTGGAGATTTCCCCCCTGCCTTTCTCAGTTCAGTGGTTTCAAAAGGCAGCTTGAACACTTGCATAAATATTCAAAAGCTCTGAAGTTCACCTAAGTCAGGTCAGATTCAGCCCTGGAATTTGTGTCAAAGGGATTGCTCAGAACACCTTTTTTTTTAACGTGACCAAGGTTCAGATCTGTGCTCAAAAGGCAAGGAGAGATACTCCAATTTTAAGGTACAAGTCTAAAACTTGGTAGGGCACAATGTGCCCCAGGGGGACGTTACTGAGTGTCTCTATTTTGGTGTTAGCCTTACAGGTTCTCTGTAAGGTTCTGGTGATATATTGCCATTTTTGGCCCTTTTGAGCATGTCCTGCAGGACAGCTCTGTCGAGGCTGCCTGCCATCCAGCCTCCTTGGAAAAACGGCAATGTGCGTTGACAGATCAGGCCTGCTTTGCATCCACAAGGAGCCTTGAGGCACCCGAACACCTTGCATCATTGTCTTGCAAATGGTGACCACCTGCAGTAGTACTCATTTGTCCTAATTGCGTCTTATTCACTGAATGTCCCCGCAGGGATGGCTTGCACATGCCCAGGGAAGCTCTACTCATTCACGCCTGTTGCAGCTGCAGGAATGAACTGCAGGTGTGATAGGCTGGTCAGGTGTGCTGGGGCCCTACCACCATTTTGAGCAGGTCTGGTATCCTCATCTGTAAAATGGGTATAACAGGGGTTCTCTTCCTCTCAAGAGTGAGGAAAACTAACAGCTGCTGTAGGACTGGACCTGTATAAATATCTCAGCCAGCAAAACTGATCTGGCAATCGGAGGGTGAGATCACTGCCTTTCATCCCTCTGGTGAGCCTGAAGCACTATGGACAGTAAGGACACCTTGTAGTTCAGCTCCCAGTTTTACACAGGAACCAGGAAATAAATCCCTTCTCCGAAGCTGTGGAGGAGTCGTGCCCCTGTGTGCCCTCTTCCAGCAATAACCACATTCCTGCCAAATGGAAAGTCCTTGGTGAGCTGTCTCTTTCTTCCTTTAGTATCCGGGTGGTGCTGGTACACCAGAGCAGCCTAAGCTGTGTCTCCGGCTCGTGTGAGGCTATTTCAGCCTTGAAATGTCACCAGGTTCCTTGGTCTTCTCTCCACAAGGAACCACTGCTGCAGTCCATCCAAATACCTCTGTCCTCAGGCTTGAAGATCCCCTACTGTCCAGAAAGGGAGTAGTGGGCTTGTCACAGAGCCCCAGATGATGTGGTGTATGTCTTCACATTGTGGGCAAGCCTTGATTTGGGACCCTGGCGGGGGTTTGCTGCCTTCCTTGGGGGTGCTAGCCGGAGAGAAGGAGGCTTCCCATCTGCATGGGGACTGTGGGTGGCACGGGGTATAACAGGGCAGAGGGTGTCAAAAAAGCGACCAAAGCAACATGAAAACACTCAGCAACACGAAGCAGACAGCGCCAGTTC